ATCCCATTGCCCAGGCCATACCCTACATCACTTAAATCAGAATTTTGGAGAATGGGCTGGAAGCATTATGTGATTACAGTATATAGCAGCAGTTCTCAACCGTGACCCACAGGAACTGTATTAAAGGGCCACAGCATTAGGAAAGTTGAGGACCACTGGTATATGCCAAGGCTATGGACCATAGCTCTTCTAGATCATGTTTTTACCTTCCTTGTAGAATTCTGATGGCTTGCTTTGTGTGTGGTGGTGGTGGTGGTGGTGTGTGCTTTGTTGTTAATGAGTGTTTTTATAGGTAATACCCAGCTGGCCTTACAGATCATCAAGAGGAATCAGCTACTCCCTGCAGTGAAAACACACACAGATGTGAGAAAGAAGCCAGTGTTTCAGCCCGTCCACCCAATCCAGCCCATCCAAATGCCAGCTTTTACCACTGTACAGAGAAAGTGATATTACACTTTTGGAAAACTGTTACCTGAGACCCAGGGCAGTATTTACTGCCTTTTTAATTGTATCACAGCAAAATGAATAAAAAACAGACAGTGAAGGTTGTTATTTTCGAAGACACACTGAGACAATTCTACCCAACTTTTTTGCCAGAAGCTTACTTAAAATTAAGGATTCACAAACTCATCTTCAGCTGTTTTAATTTTTTGCCTATTAATTTTGAGCCATTATGTGATGTATGTCATAGGCAATTAAAACATGATCTTATCAGAAGTCTTATACAGTTTTTTATTGCAACAGAGTATTTTAGCATATGAGATTTATTGTTAAAGGTTTTTTTACTAGAGATACAGTAATCTCTTTATTCATATGTAGATTCACTTAGTATCTCCCCTCCTCCCACACAATTATTTTTAGTTTTTGAATATGGTCTTTTTTTGAAGACAAACTCACTATGTCGCCTTTGGTACGGTGCCTTGGTGTCACAGCTCACAGCAACCTCCAACTCTTGGGCTTCAGTGATTCTCTTGCCTCAGCCTCCCAAGTAGCTGGGACTACAGACACCCGCCACAATGTCTGGCTATTTTTTGGTTGCTACGCCCTGAGCTACAGGAGCCAAGCCTGAATATGGTCTTTTTATTTGGTTTGGGTTTTTTTATTGTTGGAGATTCATTGAGAGCATAAAGAACCAGGTTAGGCTCGGCGCCTGTAGCTCAACCGGCTAGGGCGCCAGCCACATACACCTAGGGTGGCGGGTTCGAATCCCCAGCCCGGACCCGCCAAACAACAATGACGGCTGCAACCAAAAAATAGCCGGGCGTTGTGGCGGGCGCCTGTGGTCCCAGCTACTTGGGAGGCGGAGGCAGGAGACTCGCTTGAGCCCAGGAGTTGGAGGTTGCTGTGAGCTGTAATGCCATGGCACTCTACCCAGGGGGACAGCTTGAGGCTCTGTCTCAAAAAAAAAAAAAAAAAGAACCAGGTTAGACCAATTACAGTTGTCAAGCGAAGTCCTCCTTATAATTGTGCTCCACTCCCAAGAGATGTGCCACACACTGTGACCTGACCCCCTACCCCACTCCCTCCTTCCCTCTCTTCCATTCCCCCACCCCCACCCTGTATTAGGTCATCAGTTGTCCTCATATCAAAATTGAGTACACTGGAGCAGTGCCCATAGCTCAGTCAGCAGAGCTCCGGCCACATACAGGGAGGGTGGTGGGTTCGAACCCAGCTCAGGCCAGCCAAGACAACAATGACAACTGCAACAAAAAAAGCCGTGCATTATGGCGAGCACCTGTAGTCCCAGCTACTTAGGAGGCTGAGGCAAGAGAATTGCTTAAGCCCAGGAGTTTAAGGTTGCTGTGAGCTGTGATGTCACAGGGCAATAGCTTGACACTCTGTCTCAAAAAAAAATTTTTGAGTACATTGGATTCTTCTTCATTCTTGTGATGCTTTACTAAGAATATGTTCCACCTCCATCCACATTAATACAAAAGATGTATAATCTCCATCTGTTTTAATGGCTGAATAACATTCCATAGTATACCACAGCTTGTTAATCCATTCCTGGATTGTTGGGCATTTAGGTTGTTTCCACATTTTGGCGATTGTAAATTGAGCTGAAATAAATAGTCTAGTGCAAATGTTGTTATGATAAAAGGATTTTTTTTCTTCTGGGTAGATACCCAGTAATGAGACTGCAGGATCAAATGGGAGGTCTAGTTTGAGTTCTTTGAGGATTCTCCATACTGCCTTCCAAAAAGGTGTATTAGTTGGCAGTCCCACCAGCAGTGTGAGAGTATTTCCTCTCAACAGTCACGCCAGCATCTGCAGCTTTGAGACGTGATGTAGGCCATTCTCAGTGGGGTTAGGTGATACCTCAGGATGGTTTTGATTTGCATTTCTCTGAAAATTAGGGACAATGTGCATTTTTTCATATGTTGGTCATTTGTCATCTTTAGAGAAGGTTCTGTTCATCTCTCTTGCCCATCGAAAGGATTGTTGGCTCTTTTTATGTTGATTAATTTGAGTTCTCGGCTCGGCGCCTATAGCTCAAATGGGTAAGGCGCCAGCCACGTACACCTAAGGTGGCGGGTTCAAATCCCCAGCCCGGACCCGCCAAACAACAATAATGGCTGCAACCGAAAAATAGCCAGGCGTTGTGGCGGG